ATATCACCAATATCCCACTAAGCTTGTACGGATCAGACTTGGAAGAAAGTTAAGAACAAAACTTCCTATAATCTCTGTCATCATAGAGTCTTATGATCCCCGTTTTATGGGAACTGCCATGACCAACGGAAAACATTCCATCACCATCACCCTTGTCACTCTCAATTAAACTTCTTTTCTTCTTGGAAAATGAAGTAGAGAATTCCTCTATAATCTTTCTTTTATCTACTTAGAAAATGTTAAAATTCCTGCCTATACCATCTCTAGTTGAAACACATGTCATTGCAGTCTCAACATCATTGTCGCTAACGAGAACAACAATTGATCAAAAGACACACCCTGTCAGCTACTGTATCCAAGTTATTCTCTGTATCCAAGTTCATCCCGAGTAATAGTACCATGAGGATAATCACCAAAGCCACCGGACAGCTTTATGATGCCAATGAAGCAAGATGAGCTATTCAATGAAACTTGTATTGTAAAGAAGAAGAAAGAGACTGATTCAGAAAGGTGGGTCGAGGGTCGAGCCTCGACTATACATGTAAGTTTTTTACTTATCATTAAGTATTTTGATTTACTTTTATATAAATTTTGAAATATTAATTCAACATAATTTTTCTTATAGGTTCGCTTCACAGCTGATGTGGGGGAATTCATACGAAGTCAGCCACCTAACGAGTCGGCCGAGGCAATCCAACTTTCGAACGAGGATGCTAAATGAACACTCCTTGAGTGCTTTATATACTTTGAACTAGACAATAGAACTAGTTTTCGAATGAGCTTGTAATAAACGTTAACTTAGTTTTGTTAGCTTAATGTTTTAGTTCTATTGATCTTTATATTTTGTTGCGTTTTAGTGTTGTTGTTGCTGGCATAAAATGCCTGTTTAGGATATTTGGTATAAGCTGGCAGGTGGTGTAGCAGCCAAAACAGGCAGTTACTGCCAAAAATATACCAAAAAAGCGACCAACTTTGGTGTCCAGTTGGTCACTATTCACTTAAAAAAAAATAATTTTCTGGTAATTTTGCGACCAAGGTTGGTCGCTTATAGTTAAAAAAAAAATTAATTCTTGCCATTGGCGACCATATTGGTCGCCCATTAGATAAAAAATTATAACATTTACTAATATAGCGACCAAAGTTGGTCGCTTAATATGATTAAAAATAAATAAAAAAAAACGTTATTTACATCTGGAGACCAACTTTGGTCGCCAAAATATAATATTAAAATATTTGAGCGACCAAAGTTGGTCGCTATATGCTTTGCCCGGAAAATTTGGTCCTTTTACCTGGGAGACCAACGTTGGTCGCTATTTAGCGACCAACTTTGATCCCTAACGGTAAAGGGTACCAGGCTTAATATCGACCGG